CATTTCTTTGCTAAAGTTTGCTTCTAAATTACACAGTGAAATTATGTGAGACCGATTTTCCGGTCATTATTTCCTTAGGGTTGTGACTGTGGATTCACAGGTGTGCGATTACGCAATTTATTGCCCTCCGATCACCTGAATTTTGCCGGAGGTGAAGTTCTAAGTGGATTATTACTTGGTAATTGTTTTTACAACTAAACAAATTCTGACATTATTTTAACCATGACCAGAACTTTATTTTAACAGAAACACTGGGCTATACTATGAATAGGGTAAACGGACAGAAAGTCACAGGACATAAAGTCACAAATTGGATAGGACAAAAAGTCACAAATAATTTATTGACAATTGTTTGAATATATAAGAGAAAGATCTTCAAATAATATCTTTTTTTACATTTATTCATTTTTAAGTTCAGGCTGAGACTACTATATAGTGTTATAGTAGTCTCAGGTTCAGGAAATTGTTCATAAGCCTTGATAAATGAAAAATTATTAAATTTTAATCATGCAAATAATATATTTCTTGGCACCATGAAGCCATTTAAGTGCCAAACCACTTTGACATTTTGTTATCATAACAATTATTTGATCATCATTGATATTTATTGAATAAATTTTAATTACAAAGTTGCTTCATATATTATAGTTCAATAAAAAATCAAAAAATTATTTTTAAAATTAGTGTTTTCTTGTTCAGAGAAAAATAATCTCAAAACTGAATTGTGACTTTTCGTCCGTGACTTTTTGTCCTGTGACTTACTGTCCTACATTCTATTATAGTATTCAATCAGGAACAAAAATAGTCATTTAACATGTCAAAAAAAGAAATCAGAAAGCAACTTTTTTATATAAAAAAAATATGTAGCCAGTAGAATTTTGTCTCGTGGAAAACGGATTTAAATGATTAATTTTTGATTGACCTACAATTACATTATTTGTGGAACCTTTGCATGAATTTCCTAAATGAACGTACATTATGTACAGTGTTGTCGAAATCACTATTTTTGCTGTCATGAAATATTGAATATGAATCTGTCATTATTTGTAGTTTTTTATAGACTTAATATCACAGACCCTGATTAAAAACAACGTGTATCATAAGTACAGTAAAATGCTCTGCTGAACTGTAGAATTTTAATGTTCTGTTTCATAGACCACAGAAGTACTGCAACATCCTTATCTTTACTCTTTCCTATCGGGTAGTGAAACTCGAGTTTGAAATTAGAAAGATTTAAAATTGAAGACAAGTTTTATCTGATCTTTTGTGGGTTTATGTTTCGGTGCAGTGCTATGTGGGCTGTTATTTTTGTCGTTGGGTTGTTGTCTCATTGACATATACCTCACATTTCTGAATAGTCATAGCAGCTGTGCCTTTTCAATTTATTGCAGAAAATATTTGCATTAACATTTTTCAAAATAGGCCAGGTGAAACAGTGATCACAGAATGAGGACATGTAAAACTGAAACAACACAACACAACAGATAAATATAAACAAGCACCATTGCTAAAGGACTGAAACAAACATAGATGATGACTAATATGAGCGACTAGTAGTGTACAAGTAGAGTGAACATTTCTTGCTTCTTATTCTACACATTTTGTCATTTCATGTAAACAATTAAATATGTTATTTTCCGAGGAGAGCAAGGAATTTGTGAAACGAAATATTTTGCCTTTAGTACTGTCAAGTTATATATTCACAGGAGTGTTGTTGAATAAATGAACATTTTCCCTTTTTTTACATTATGCTACCTTTATGCTACAAAGGTAGCATTTCCATTCTCATGATATACAAAGATATTATAGAGTGGCCTTCCAATGATAGTCATACATGTAAATCATTGTCTCATTGGCAATCATACTACATCATCATATTGTTATACATGTGTGAAAAAATTATGTACATGTATACTTTGTAAACGTAAAGAAGACAAATGAAGTTGAACACAAGATATTTATTTGCATTTTTATCCGTATAGTCTCTGCACAACTGCCACTTCTGTTTCAAATTCAATAGATTGAATGCAGAGTCTTGTATTTATTCTTAGTTCAATGATGTCACCATCACTTGCACAAAAATCGCATACACATGTACATCAAGTTTGGCATATGAACTACAAAAATGTGGTGTTTTCACAGTCAGGATAAGCACATGTCATTTTTTCTCTCTTACAAAACAATTTTTTAGTATCACATTGATAGTAGTACATGTAATCGGTCCACTACATGACTGTGCAGTAACATTTGAAAAAAGTCATCACTAATAGTTGTTCCTGTCTGCCAGGGAATCTTTTTTTCAATCAGAAAGGCTAGGGAGTCCTACATTCAGCACATGTATGATATTACATCTCTTGTATGCTGCACTGTTAGGTAAATTTGATCAACATCTTTGTTCTTTTATAATATGCAGGATCCTGTTAAAAAAAAATGCTGTCAGATACTGAATGTAAATATACATGTATATAAACTTGTAAATGTCATCAAAGTGGTGGAAATAATGAAAAAACAATTTATATACACAAAACCGGTATGTCTTGGGAAAGTAATTCCTGTGATCAATGGTGATGGGTACATTTGTTCTTTAAAGATGGACAATTTTATAAACTATAGCCATGGACAGGTGCCTGTCTTTATATTGAAGAGAATGAAAATGGCCGACAGCTTGAATGGTCATTTTTAATTGTAAATTGCATCAAAGCTGGTGAAAATATGGGAAAAACAACTGTTATACACAAATCCAGTATGTCATATGAAAGTAATTCATGTGCTGGGAATAATTATTCTCTAAAGATGGAAAAGTTTATTGACTGTAGACATGGACAGGGGCCTGTCTTTATATTGAAGAGAATGAAAATGGCCGACAGCTTGAATGGTCATTTTTAATTGTAAATTGCATCAAAGCTGGTGAAAATATGGAAAAAACAACTGTTATACACAAATCCAGTATGTCATAAGAAAGTAATTCATGTGCTGGGAATAATTATTCTCTAAAGATGGAAAAGTTTATTGACTGTAGACATGGGCAGGGGCCTGTCTTTATATTGAAGAGAATGAAAATGGCCGACAGCTTGAATGGTCATTTTTAATTGTAAATTGCATCAAAGCGGGTGAAAATATGTAAAAAACAACTGTTAAACACAAATCCAGTATGTCCTAAGAAAGTATTTCATGTGCTGGGAATAATTATTCTCTAAAGATGGAAAAGTTTATTGACTGTAGACATGGACAGGGGCTTGTCTTTATATTTTAAAAATTGAACGTGGCCGACAGCGAGAATACTGAATTTTAATTGTAAATTGCATCAAAGTGGGTGATTTTATGAAAAATTCAACATATTTACACAAAACCAGTATGTCTTGGGAAAAGTGATTCATCTCATAAATGGTTTTATTCCTTTTCGAATGAAAAGATTTTAATAAAAAATACGTGTAAAAAATTTTCATAACGTCCATGTCGGCCAAGCTTTCCCCTTATTATTGACCACAATAAAACGTTAATCGTCACAATATTTTAACTAACAATTACTACAAACTGAATAAAACAAGGTAAATAATTTACGAAATTGAAATATATACTTACATTATGCTGTTTTGAAAAGCTTGATGTAAAATAAAAATCGAAGCGGTGGTGAACTTGTCATGATCAGATGCAAAATGGCGATCTCGTTAAAGTCTCGTGTGATGCGTGTTTTTAATTGGATTTCGCTGACCACTGTTACAGTTGCCAATCTCTGTGTATATATGTCTCTGTTCTTAATATGCATATTAATTTGCAGTTGAACTTAAGCAGCCAATGCCCATCCATTATCAGTTACACGGGCAAGACATTTCCCTGTGAGCATTCCTGATCATTCCTGACCAAGTCTTAAAGCCATTTGGGACAAATTTTTGATAACATTGTTCTTCTTTGATCACCTATTAATATTACATATGGTGTAGCATTCTAATGTTTTCATTGGATATGACGATCACGTGTTTCAAATGTTATTTTACGTATCTGACGCCTTGTTTCTATTCTTATGAAATGGGGTCCCTGTCCGCAAGTACATTTCAGCAATTTATCTCGGAAGTATTAATGATTATTTCTTATTGTTACTTTTTGCGGGTAATCGTAGCCAGTGGCTTCAAAATGATGCATTTTCTTTATTTTTCCTTGTCTCATAAAAGAATAGTTTTTTTTTTAATGTTAGTAGATGGCGGTAATGCACAGATTTTACACGACCCCATCCCCCAAAATAAAAAAAATAAAGCAATTTTTCATGGATTGATTTTCAATACATGTTTTATCAGAGGCATATAATACAAATATTGTATATGTCTCGGGATTTTTTATCGTGTATTACTCCATGTCTTAATTAACAACTCAGTTTAATCAGAGACATATATACACAGTGTATATATGTCTCTGGTTTAATTTACGAATAAATATTTTAACAAACTCATTTAACAAATAAAACACTTTTTAAAGTCATACAGAGAATTTTTATTGGCATAAACGATTAACCCTCCCGCCATCCCCGGTCCACTGACAGCATACATATAAACCGAAGGCAGACTGCCTTCGGTTTATATGTATGCTAAGAAGTCAGTAAACCACAGGCGCACGTAGAAAATAATAATACATGGTAAAAATTTATAAACTACTAGTACTGTTATTGTAATATCGTATGGAAGAGAGCAAGTACGCATTAAAAAGTGAAATAAAATTAAAAGATTACAGCTAGAATATTTTTTGCATCGGAACCTTTTTTGCCACTAATGAAAATATTTACTAAAAAAATTTAAACACAAAAAAAAATATTTAGGAAAAAGTGAAGGGTCAATTTCCTGTGCATTAAAAACAGAAATCGGTACCAACGATAAACTGGAATCCGTTGAATTTAACGATTCTCTCATCAGCTCATGAACACAAGTCTAAAAGTTAACCGAGAACCAGCTTTCACGTTTCGGAATTTATACGTAGTCACACCAGTAATGATTAAACTATTTTACGTTGAAATGTATTTCCGGTAGTTTTGGTTGAACTTGAATCTAAAAAGATGTCTAAAAAGTCTATGCCAAGCACTTTTGTGAAAAATATTTTGCAGAATGGAATAGGTCGATATGTTTGCCAGCTTCAACGAGTTAAACTAACATTTTGTAAAACCGCTGGCACCAGTAGGGGCGTCAGGTACTTTTTTTCTCTTCAAAAACTTCATGCAAAAAATATGCCAAAGGAATAGGCCCTTTCAGTTTCACGGTTATTGCAGCCATGTTGAATATGGGGCAGATTTTCATAATGGAGGTAAAAATGGTTTCAAAAATACGGGAAAATTTCAGTTGCTCGGAAACATGCATAGGATTTCCCGTACTTTCATACTATTTCCACCTCTATACATTCTTCAGACTTCACAGTCATACCTTAGAATCCGTCTCTTCTGCAAAATATCTTGACATTACTCTTCAATTTGATTTAAAATTGACTCAACATACAAACAATATTATTGCAAATGCAAATAAAAGCCTAGGCTTTAAATTTCTTAAAAGAAACCTAAAAACATCTATCACATACATTAAGTCACAGGCATACCTAGCACTTGTCCGTCCAAAACTAGAGTAAGCTTGCTCGGTTTGGAACCCTCATACTGCTGAACAATACAATAAACTTAGATGGATCAGCGTTGAGCTGCTACGTATGCCTGTTATCTTTATCATAACACCAGTAGCGTTACAGACATGCTCAATACTCTGAAGTTGTCTACCTTACAACAACACAGACTTAAAACTAGACTCATAATGTTCTATAAAATTGTACACCATATCGTGGCAGTACCATCAGTATTACGGTAACAAGACATTTCGGCACCCAAGTCCGAAGACATTTCGGCATCCATTTTGGACAGTTCGGGATCCGAACATTTCGGGACCAAGACAATTCGGCACCTCATTTTTTTAAATATATATATTAGGAAAAATAAAAGAATATGTTACGTAATATTAATTATAATCCGTTGATAAAATATGCAATAACAAAATTTGAAATCATCATTTAATTAAATCCTAAATGATCATGATGATTGTGTATGAATAGTAAAACATAATTTAATTAAATCATAATTGATTGTTAGATATGACGGTGTTTGAATAAACATCATTTAATTAAATCATAATTAATTGTAGTTATGCATTAATCAGTATTTTATGTATAAATCTGATAATTTCTCAATAGAGACAAATGAGAGATCAAAAGTGTTTAGCTTGTGTTTCAGCTTGTGTTCTCATTTGATCCTTACATCTGTAAAGACAACACAATACCTGAAAACTATATTTTATTGTTTTAATATTAAAACCCATAAACATAAAAGCGCGTGCAAGCCATAGACAGTAAAAACCCAGAAACATATGTAACACTCCCAAACGTGTCCATCCCCCAAACGTGTCCGATTCCCCCAAACGTGTCTTATTCTCCCCAAACGTGTCCGTAATATTCAATATGGCCCAAACATGTCCGATTTCAAAACCCCTAAACGTGTCCGATAATTGTTATTCGCCAAAAACGTGTCCACTGTTAAACGCCAGAACGTCTCACGTCTTTTAGCGCCAATACATGTATGTCCTAAATAAAATCAATAATGTTTACAGCAATTCTATGATGGGGAAACAGTAGATGAGGTAGTAATTTATTAGCATTAGTTTGTTCAATGCCGGTTGTTAATGATTATCATAATTGCAAATTTAATATGTAACATATGAATTAACTTTTGACTGAATTTGCTTATTGTCCAGTTGCAAGTATTTCATGCTCATTAAGAGCGAACATACATATAATTCTAGTGCAGTATAATTAATCGTTTACTATGTAAATTATGTGTTGCTAATAAACTCTGATGATGCCTTTTATATTAATCCGAAAGGCTGGCTTTCAGCAGAATTGACTTCCCTTTTTTTCAACAGTTCTGATATTTTAAAAGCTCTTCAAATCAAAAACTGGTTTTCTGGGTTTCTAATAAATTTTAGGTTTCGAGCATTACTAAAGACACACGAACAAGAGAAATAACATCCAGTGCCAAATATTTCATGGTTCTATTATCATACCGGGAATTTAGGATTGGGTCTAAATTTTTACGGTTATTCAGGATTAACACTAGTTGGGATTATAATCTAAAAAAATAAGAGCGTGTGAAGACCGATTTTTTTTATGACTTCAGTTAGAAACTACTGCAATCTCCGTTATGTAATAGAGGCCGTTTTAAATAAAAGTTGCGGAAATTTAAAAAAAATGTTGCCTTCCAAAATACAACTGATGGCACCATGAAAGAGTGAATTGCTACATTCTCCCTACATGAGGTATCTGATTTAATATCTACAATTAACTGAGCATGGCTGCTTACATTTACATTGTTGAAGGCCATACGGTTGCCTATAATTGCTTACGTCCACTTTATTTGAACTTTGGTGGATAGTTGTCTCATTGGCAATCATACCTCATCTCCTTATTTTTATAAGGATAAAAATGATAAGCATGTTAAGATTTATCTGCCACGTAATTTTTCAAACCAATTGGACAACCCTATTTGCAGTTATTGCATCTGGAATTATAAATTTTACGAAATATCTCTGTTTTTTTTTTGTTGTTGTTTTTTTTTATTATTATCTTAAATGAACAGCAAAAGTGGCCAGCAAGTTGAGATCTACAACTAAGTTAACTAAGTTAACTGACCGAAATTGTAAATTTATCCCTTATAGGAGTTATTGGCTTGAAAGGCATTTTTTTTTAAATTAAATTTTCAAGTTTTTTTTAAGAAAGTATAATAGATGAAGGGAAACTTTAAGTGACAAATATGTTCAACAAAATTAGATCTACGAATAAGTTGACAAGACAGCTATCCAAATGACTAAGCTGCAATACAGTCATGACAGTCTTCACAAATAAAAAAAACAAAGAGAATAAGATACTTCTTCGAAGATACCATATACAATATTGACAATAATGTCATAAATAGTGTAGGAATTAAATTGGTAATTTGTAAAAACAGTCAAACATAATCGCTATATTAACACTAAACTTGTAAATTGAGTTCATACCCACATACATATATCAGTGCCAGGTAACTTTAATGTTTGGTTCACTATATTTTGATCAAGGATAAAATAATTGATTTTATCTTTATTAGGTGCCGATTTGTCTATGTTAGATGCCCGATTTGTCTAGGTGCCGATTTGTCTGGGTGCCGATTTGTCCAGATGCCGATTTGTCTGGGTACCGAACTGTCTAGACAGACAATAGAACCCAGCAAATTCATCCACAAACTTAAAGACATGATCTACTTACATCTAAAGACTGCTACAAATATTCATTTTTAGCTCACCTGGCCGTCGTCGTCGTCCGTCGTCCGTTAACTTTTACAAAAATCTTCTCCTCTGAAACTACTAGGCCAAATTTAACCAAACTTGGCCACAATCATCATTAGGGTATCTAGTTTAAAAGATGTGTCCGATGACCCCGCCTGCCAACCAAGATGGCCGCCATGGCTAAAAATAGAACATAGGGGTAAAATGCAGTTTTTGGCTTATATCTCTGAAACCAAAGCATTTAGAGCAAATCTGACATGGTGTAAAATTGTTTATCAGGTCAAGATCTATCTGCCCTGAAATTTTCAGATGAATTGGACAACCCGTTGTTGGGTTGCTGCCCCTGAATTGGTAATTTTAAGGAAATTTTGCCGTTTTTGGTTATTATCTTGAATATTATTATAGATAGGGATAAACTGTAAACAGCAATAATGTTCAGCAAAGTAAGATCTACAAATAAGTCAACATGACCAAAATGGTCAGTTGACCCCTTAAGGAGTTATTGCCCTTTATAGTCAATTTTTAACCATTTTTCGTAAATTTTTGTAATCTTTTACAAAAATCTTCTCCTCTGAAACTACTGAGACAAATTTAACCAAACTTGTCCACAATCATCATTAGGGTATCTAGTTTAAAAAATGTGTCCGATGACCCCGCCTGCAAACCAAGATGGCCGACATGGCTAAAAAATAGTACATAGGGTAAAATGCAGTTTTTGGCTCATATCTCTGAAACCAAAGCATTTAGAGCAAATCTGATGAGGATAAAATTATTCATTAGGTCAAGATCTATCTGCCCTGAAATTTTCAGATGAATCGGACAACCCGTTGTTGGGTTGCTGCCCCTGAATTGGTAATTTTAAGGAAATTTTGCCGTTTTTGGTTATTATCTTGAATATTATTATAGATAGAGATAAACTGTAAACAGCAATAATGTTCAGCAAAGTAAGATCTACAAATAAGTCAACTTGACTAAAATGGTCAGATGACCCCTTAAGGAGTTATTGCCCTTTATAGTCAATTTTTAACCATTTTTCGTAAATTTTTGTAATTTTTTACAAAAATCTTCTCCTCTGAAACTACGAAGACAAATTTAACCAAACGTGTCCACAATCATCGTTAGGGTATCTTGTTTAAAAAATGTGTCCGATGACTCCGCCGCGAACCAAGATGGCGGACATGGCTAAAAAATAGTACATAGGGTAAAATGCAGTTTTTGGCTCATATCTCTGAAACTAAAGCATTTAGAGCAAATCTGATGATGATAAAATTGTTCATTAGGTCAAGATCTATCTGCCCTGAAATTTTCAGAACAATCAGGCAACACGTTGTTGGGTTGCTGCCCCTGAATTGGTAATTTTAAGAAAATTTTGCAGCTTTTGGTTATTATCTTGAATATTATTATAGATAGAGATAAACTGTAAACAGCAATAATGTACAGCAAAGTTAGATCTACAAATAAGGCAAACATGACCAAAATTGTCAATTGACCCCTTAAGGAGTTATTGCCCTTTGTAGTCAATTTTTTACAATTTTCATAAATTTTGTAAATTTTTGTAAATTTTTACAAAGTATTTTCCACTGTAACTACCGGGCCAAGTTCATTATAGATAGAGATAATAGTAAGGAGCAAGAATGTTCAGTAAAGTAAGATCTACAAACACATCACCATCACCAAAACACAATTTTGTCATGAATCCATCTGTGTCCTTTGTTTAATATGCACATAGAACAAGGTGAGGGACACAGGCTCTTTAGAGCCTCTAGTTTCCTTTTACAATTACACAATGGAATTTACTACCTCCAAATGTAGTACTTTCCCCTGCACTAAATATCTTTAGAGAACAATTGACACCTACTGTTCTCTACAATATAGAACAGTAAACCTTAGCAGTTATGTAAATAGTTTTAACCACATGTCATGTTAGTATTTATTTTTGGCACTATTCTTTTGTAAATATTTATTTATAATTATCCTACACATGTGCAGCAGTTAGTAATCATCAAAAATCTGATGGATAACTGGATACCATAAGAAGAAGAAGATATCTATCCAAAAAATCTGCCCCTTATTCATCATGTGTGCAATAACCATGAAGTGGCCTATAGTTGAGATGTCAACTATTAATTCAGTATTTGCACTACAAAGGTGAAAATTCCCATAACACTCTAAATAGTGCTTCTTGCTATTTGATTTGTCCATAGTTTAGTGTCTTTTTACTATTTTGTTGTATAGACTGCACTGACCATAGTCCCTTTAAGGGTTCTAAGTCGGAAGCGATTTTCTGATTTGGCCTCCCTCAGAATCCCTTATTAAGTTGTATCAACTTTATTCCCGATTTTTTTAGTCATTTTACATTTGAAGCAAAAGACATGAAAGAGGTCAGTGCTAAATGTTAGGTTGAAGTATACATATTTTTTAAATAAAGCTTGTTAATTATAAGAAGCAAATTTGTATCACTGATGAAAAATGGCTGGTGTCAAACTAGTCATGCTAGTGGTAACATAACAGTAATATTTTCATATCTTTATAGGGACTTTGTGGAAAACCATCTGTTAGATTTTACCAATAATAATCCTGGAGTTGTTGTGTACCTACAGCCTAAGAGACGTCAACCTGCTTACATGTATGCAGAATACTGTACGTTTGTTTAACATGTTTATGATGTTAGATTAGGGTACCCTTAAAGTGTCAAACAAAATTGACCAACACGAAACGAAATCATTTTGTTTTGTATTCTAAGTGAAAAAGTTAAGGGTGTCTATAAAGTAAGAAACAAAAAGAAACAAAACAAAATGAGAAGAAACAAAATGAAATAAAAAAAAACCGAAATAAACAAACAACCAAACCAAACAAAAAGAAATAAAACGAAACAAACAAAAAATTGATTGAATATATTATAACAACAAACGAAATATATATATTCTCTCCTTTTTGCATTTATAGCCTTAGAATGGATTGTTAATAAGAAGCATTTTGATGATAAAAACCGTGTGTGAAACTTTTTATGCCCCCGTTCCAAAATTGGTTTCCGTTCTCTAACTTGAGTTTGCCTCAACCAAATGTTCTGAACTTATACACAATGCTTATTACCACAAAATACAGATCAAGTTTGAATTTTGGTAGCGTCACTCTAACTGTTCTAGAGTTATGCCCCTTAATAAATGGAAAAATTACAAAATTTTTAGTTTCCTTTCTCTAACTTAAGTTTGCCTCAACCAAATGTTATGAAACTTAAACACAATGCTTATTACCACAAAATACAGATTAAATTTGAATTTGAGTGGTGTCACTTTAATCGTTCTAGAGTTATGCCCTTTGTAAATGGAAAAATTACAAAATTTTTAGTTTCCTTTCTCTAACTTAAGTTTATCTCAACCAAATATTATGAAACTTATACACAATGCTTATTACCACAAAATACAGATCAAATTTGAATTTTGGTAGCGTCACTCTAACCGTTCTAGAGTTATGCCCCTTTATCAATGGAAAAATTAAAAAAATTTTAGTTTCCTTTCTCTAACTTAAGTTTGCCTCAACCAAATGTTATGAAACTAATACACAATGCTTATTACCACAAAACACAGATCAAGTTTGAATTTTGGTGGCATCACTTTAACCATTCTAGAGTTATGCCCCTTTATAAATGGAAAAATTGCAAAATTTTGAGTTTCCGTTCTCATGGTTCTCTAACTTAAGTTTGCCTCAACCAAATGTTATGAAACTTATACACAATGCTTTTTACCACAAAACACAGATCAAGTTGAATTTTGGTGGCGTCAATCTTATAATTATCGAGTTATGCCCCTTTATAAATCGAAAAATTGCAAAATTTTTAGTTTTCTTTCTGTAACTTAAGTTTGCCCCAACCAAACAATTTGAAACCTTTACACAATACTTATTACCACAAAACTCAGATCAAGTACAAATTTGGGTAGCGTCACTTTTATTGTTTTGAGTTATGTCCCTTTATAATGTTGTATGCGGGGGCATCATCTGTGTCCATGGGGACACATTCTCCATTTATTTTTTTCTTACCCGCCAAATTGGCGAGCATCTTTTCATTTCAACTCGCCGAATTGAAATTCCACTTGCCAGCTTGGCGAGTGACTTACTTTTGGACTCGTCTTCTTCTTCATACATAATTATTAAATGATATTATTCCATTCCATTTACTAAATACTCTGTCATGGAATCGAGACAATTAAGAGCGAGACATATTTGTGTGGTCACCTATCTATTTGTCGAAGATGTATATGTAATTTAATTTATTCATGTTGTTATTAATTTCATCTATAACTGGTAACTTGAAAATTTAAATTACCATTCACATTTTTGTACATATAGAAGTCTCAGTTATATAAAGGAGAAGTCAACTTATCTTGAGATTACCTTGTGAGAGGAGTATCATAATATATGTATATAAATATGGTATATGGTTTTTCACTAGCAGGGAATTTTTAATATTTAAAGGAGCCATTAATTCCAGAGACACCTATAGTAATATGTTTGTTAATTCATGCAGTTTATATAACAAAAAATAAACTATTTCATTAATTATGAAGACTTAAGAATAATGTAAATATTTCCTTTAGTACTTCGTCGCTTGTCACCCCCACAATGAGAATAATTTCAAAACCATGTAAGAATATCTAAGCGTGTCTAATTTTAAGACCTTCTAAGACATATCAGGGCGAAACCCATAAAAGAGACGTTTACGATTATTTCCTAGTTTATAAAGAAAATTTGCTGTTCAATCTCTCTTCTGTTTCGTGATGATCATCTATTCCTACTTAAACTATGGAGCCTACCAACAATGACCAAACATTGATTAAACGAGTTGGTCTTAATGCACATCCATATTGATCAGTTGAGCCCTTGTATTGGACAAGTTCGACACTAGTGGAAATAGAAGAATTTTTTTAAAGGATGGAAATATTTGTTGTTAAAATGCAGCTTTAAAATATAAATGAATATATATGATGACATATAAAAAAAAGATGTGGAGTAAATAACAAAGATGACAGCTAGCCAATGACACTAAATGAAAGAAAAAAAATTCTGTATTATTAGCATGATTAGTTACTACCACAAGGAACATCAAAAGTAAACTCTTAAATCAACATGCAACATCAAAAGTCAATGAAATTAAACCCTTAAATCAGGTAATTTAAAAGTAAGAAGATGTGGTATGATTGCCAATGGGACAACTGTCCACCAGAGACCAATTGATGTAGAAGTTTACAACTATAGGTCACTGTATGTACGGCCTTGAACAATGAGCAAAACCCATACTGCATAGTCAACTATAAAAGTCCCCAAAACGACAAATGTATAACAGTTCAAACAAGAAAACTAACAGCCTGATATATGTATAAAACAATGAACAAAAAACAAATTTAAGTTCTAATGAGGAAATATCTGTGTTTTTTCTTTTAGTAAATGGGTACAAAGAGAAATTCTGTATTGACAACATGAACAAAGATCAGATATGTAAATGGATAGAAACCTACAGATCAAGATCAGGAGTACCAATTATGAGGATGCGTAAACAATGGCACACGGACGTGCCTAGCGTTCAAGGAGTCTGGCATCCGTTTATGTTCAAAGATCCTCAAATAAATAGAAAAACATTTCCTAATGAAGAACTATCTAGATTCTTACCATCAGAACCTTCAGCAACAGAACAAGTGTTAAAAATGTTTGAAGAGCAGAAGAAAGAAATTCCTTCTCAGGGACCAACTAAAGAACTTCATTCAAGTGATGATGTACTTCAATCAAAATAAAAATTCTTATCAGTTGTTCTTTTTTTATAGGACTGCAAAAAAATTGTGTTCTTATAATGCTATCATGTCGTCGTCTGCGTCGTTGTCGTCATCCGAAGACACATTTGGTTTCCGGACAATTACTTCATTGTACTTTAGTTTAAGTGAATGGATCTCTATGAAATTTTACCAGAAGGTTCAATACCACAAAAGGAAGGTGGGATTGATTTTGGGGGTTATGGTACCAACAGTTTAGGAATTAGGGGCCATAAACAAGCATTTTTGTAGTTTCCGGACAATAACTTGTGTGTAAGTGTATGGGATCTCTGAAATTGTACCACAAGGTTTCATATCCCAAAGGGAAGGCTGGGATTGAGTTTGGGGGTAATTGCCCCAAAGGTTCAGGAATTAGGGGTAAAAAAGGGGCCAAAAACAATCATTTTTCTAGTTTCCAGACAATAACTTGTGTTTAAGTGTATGGATCTCTGAAATTGCACTACAAGGTTCCATACAACTAAGGGAAGACTGGGATTGAGTTTGGGGGTTATTGCCCCAAATGTTTAGAAATAAGGGTAAAAAAAGGGGCCAAAAACAAGCATTTTTCTAGTTTCCAGACAATAACTTGTGTTAAAGTTTATGGAACTCTCTGAAAATTGTACATTTTTCCTGAAAAGAAAATAATTTTCAAAATTTCAAAAAATATTTGAGGGGGGGATTTTATTTTCAAATTGTTTTTGGGGGTTCATATTTTTTTTCTTAAAATTTTTTTCAAATTTTTTTTTGGGGGGGTTTCAATTTTTTTGGGGGTTCATACTTTTTTCTTCAAGATATTCAAAATTTCAAATTTATTCAAAAAAGTTTTCTTGGGGGGGACAATTTCTTGGGGGATTTTTTTTCAAAATTTTTTGGTTTTTTTTCCCCAAAATTTTTTCCATTTTTACATTCATTTGATCAATTCTTATTTATATATAAAAGCAACAAATACTGATATGGCAGGAGATACACACCAAACAGGGTGTGTAAATTATTATATATAACAGATTATTGTGCAATAGCACAGTTTTGTGCAATAGCTAAGTATTACGCTATAGCAAGAAATCTTCAATTGAAAATAAATACAAATCTTTTAACCAATTTCAATAGGATTAAATTAAGTCTTTAATTTTTTGGGGTTCTAACCTTGTATTACTAATTTGGATATTGGGCCCCATTTTTAGATTGGTCTACATTGAGGTCCAAAGGGTCCAAAATTAAAATTTGTTTGATTTCATCAAAAACTTAATTATTGCGGCTCTATGATATGCTGAATCTTATTGTGCATTTAGATTTTTTAATTTGGGCCCTGTTTTCAAATTAGTCCATATTACATGTATTAAGGTTTGAAGGGTCCAAAATTAAAGTTTGTTTGATTTCAACTAAAATTAAATTTTTGGTGTTTTTTTATATGCTGAATCTAACCATGTTGTTAGATTTTGGATATCAGACCATAATAGATAAATTAAAAGTCCCATTTCAAAATTTTAAGATCTTTGACCACATTTATTTTGTGTCAGAAACCTATATTACCTTGCCCCAACTGTTCAGGGTTCGACCTCTGCAGTTGTATCAGGCTGCGCTCGGCGAAGCATTTTATTAAGGTAAATGCATTAATACAGAAATAGAAACAAGAAATAGGATATACTAGTAATAGTTTGCTTTTTTTCGTACCATCAAGGATTCTGTATTATCTATTTCCACCTATGAATTCAGGGGCGGATCCAGGATTTTGGAAAGGGGGGCGTGTAGTATTAAAGTTCGCCGAGCGGAGCGAGGCGAACAATTTTTTGGACCAATTTTTGGCTAAAAAACATAAAATAAGTGGAAAATGCATTTTATTGTTAAAGTGTAGGGGTTGGACTTTTTGGTGCCGTATTCTCTCCATTAATTGTCTATTATAAAATGATTGGATGGATCCAAAGCTATGTACTAATTAATATATTTGATGTGGGATTTGTCAGTAAAAAATGGACATGGAAAATTCTCGTTTGTTGTATTGTTAGTTAGCATAACCTCACAGATTTCTTGTTGTAAACAAGATATACGGCTATTCAATGAAATTTCATATACGACCGACACGAAGAAAGACAAACAAGCAATTTTTATCCAAAAGTTTGGTTGAAATGTTTCAACCAACAAGGGAAGTGAGGGGTTCCAAATCAACCAAAGGCTACGAATGAGTCGGAAATGACAATGAAGTTGTGAATGACGGTCAACACATGGAGACATAGAAGCCACACCCAGCAGACAGGTTGCAGTCGGGCCTTGAAAAAAGTATTAAGTATATCAGTTCGGCGAAACAGACATTCCGGTCAGATATGAGATTCACATGCAACCACCCTCCCCCCCAAAAAAAAAATTACGCCCGTTTTTTTATTCATCATGTTCATTTAATGCTCAATAATTTTGTTGAAAATATTTTTTTCTAATAGCAAAAAAGTGGACAAGATTATTGTTTTCAATCCAGATACGGCCAGAATTTTTGTTTAAGGCAAAAATCAGGGTCAGAAGTTTTTCTCTAAAATATCTCAGACTGCCCCTTCAAATCAAATGGTCCGTACCTTAGACTTTAAATCTATACCTAGAGCTTACTGACTGGGGATCACTATTCAGCAATGTTATTGATGGGCTGGGGCGTGTGGGGTTAAACATGTTTTCGTAGGTAAATAATATTGCTGTGGAACTTTTTTTTCATGAGAGTGTAATAGAGTATTTCTTTCTGTTGGGTGGAATAGTGAAATAGAAGTCAATAGTTCTTGCTCAATACTTTGTAGCTTTGAAGGCGTCATGCTTGTCATCCTCAGCCTAAGCAATGTGTTACTGTAATTTGAATTTCAAAATGACTGAGTGACGTTTTTTTCGACGTACTGGCCAACTCCACCGTAGCGAATCACATGACTTTGACATAATCAATAATATATTACAGTAAATACGAGCGAAAAATATCTTTATAAGTAAAGAATTGTCGCATAAAAATTAAATACACGGGAAATGGCAAAGTTCGCGAAGTCTAGTCTGATTAATCATTTTACAAAAAAAAAAAAAAAAAAGTGCAAGCAAAAGGGGGGGGGGGGCGTACGCCCTCTACGCCCCCCTCTGGATCCGCCACTGGAATTTCCTTTATATGCTCACCTTGCAAAAAGGGCAAATGTATGATCTATTGCCCTCACTTGGGCCTCTCTCTATACTTTTTACAAAAACATTCTCCACTGAAACTACTTGGCAATTTGCAACAAAAGTTAGCCACCATACTCCTTAGGGTGTCTAGTTTAAAAAAAGTGTTGAATGATCCTGTCTGTCAACAATCATGGCTGCAATGGCTAGAAAAATAACATTTGGGTGAAATGAAAGTAATTGTTTAATATAATTGATAACTGTTCTAGGTAAAGAAAATATGATCGGACAAAAATGTTCAGAATGTCAAACTCTATCTATCATATATCTCCAATATGACGAAAACTGTTGGATTACATCTTAAAGGAGTTACTGACCTTAAATAACAGTTTTCACCCAATTTTCACTTTTTATTGGCAATTTATCATGAAAAAAAATAATAGACAGAGAAAAAATCTTACCTCCAAAAATAGTAAAGAAAGAACAAAATACATGCAAATTTCGTGGCTGAAATTGTCAATCAGATACTTAAAGAAGTTATTTCCTTTTTCAATGATTTTTACCCATTTTTATACGCCCGTTTAATTGAACTTTATTTGTTTATAGTCCAAGAACTAAGTACTAAGTATTGCGCAACAGCACAGTGTATTGCACAACAGCAAGAAATATTTAATTGAATATAAATTCAATTCATATAACCAATTTCAAGTTCTTTGACTACAATTATTCAGAAACCTATAATATATCAAATATTTATTTATTTTTGGCAGAAACCATAGTCGAAACATTAACAGCAAAAAAGATCAGCAAAATAAAATATTCAAATTAGTTAAAATAGGTGATTTCCTCTATCAATTTGACGCTGTAAAGCATTTTAGACAGGAATATAGATATGCAGCACATGCAGACAAAAATCCAGGGCGTTATGTATAGCCAAATTTCTGCTCATATCGCACATACCATGTTATGTCAGTGTCAATCCAGCCAAATTTCCAGCTCAACAACCCAGTCGCCTCGCTGGGGAGAAAATTCCTATTGAATTTTTTGTCATGTTGTTCTCGTCCAAAATATGCACGAAATAGTTTCGCCTCACACAGATGACCAAGGATATGCTACGCTTGACGAAGTCACGGTCTCGTCTTCTTTTCCTCGTTTGTGACATTTCAGAAAACGACATATTGCCACGAGCACCTCGGCAGATGACATTAAATGAAGCAGGAACTGCTAACCCTTCTGGAATACCAATTTTCGCCCTGGTTTTCGATGAGGTTCGTGTTGCTCAATTATGTTTTCAGTGTTACAGTAGTAGTTCTTCCCCGTAACTTTTCTTTTGACCATAGTATTATATCTGTTTTCCTCAACTTAAGGCTTTTGTATGCCCTTTGCATATTTTCCCTTTGTGTCTCGCCTGCGACAAACGTCATGAGGATAAGACATACCGATCGCATATTTCGTCGGCATCATATAGGTTCAATTTGCGCATTTTTTTTTTTTTTTTTTAGATCTCAACAAATTTGTCAAATATCCATGGAGTTTCACGAGACTTGAACAGATGCATCTTTATGAACTAAGAACATAACATTAAGATATAGTCTATGATTAAAGTTTTTAAAACATCAATAACATTTTGCAAACCGTCATAGAATGTCAAGAACTTTTAAATTTTAAGAAGCTTCTTCAAAATGGAAAAAGATACCATCTTGAATAAAATTTAGATTTTTCTCCATCTCCATTCAATAAATTCGCGAAAATGCTTTTTAAAAACAAAAATTGCTACTGACGTCCTTTCGCTAAATTCGTTGGAGGTGTAGCTGATTCACATTCAGTTAGTTTGGAAGAACATTTCAAATTTATTGTTTGAAATTGCTCTTTGGACTAGCTTTCA